AAGGCTTGTGTGACCTGGAGCCACCACAGACGGCGGCAGACCTCCAGCAGTTCCTTTGTGCAACCAACTGGTCTGACTGGTTCAAAATCAAACCGATGCATGAAAGTACGGTGCAACGACGGCTCTGTTCTTGTCTTTAAACATCTACCTACGCCCTGTCCTCTCTTTGTGGCCGCACCACGACTTGGGACCAGTTCCTGCAGGCTGTGCCGCCTTGGCGTCATACCAGGCACGACGGCTGTGCTACTTAGCGATATGTGGTGGACGCTACTCTTGTTGTCTTGCGCCGGCTTGCAACCAGCTACCGCACTCAGGACGGTAGACCTTGATGACAAATCCAAAAGTGAGCTCTGTTATCAACCACGCTATCTAACCTTTCCCTACTTCGGCTTCAGGGGGGATCAGTCAATACGTGACGTCACACCATCGCTCCACATCAATTGCATCTTCATGCGCATCTTCTCGCATCTTCTCGTATCTTCGGAAAACTCGTCCAGGTGTCCAGGGTTCTGAACCTAGGACATCTCGAAACCTCGGACAGGCAAATTGTCCAGGTCTCACCAACTTCACACTCTGCAGCACGTACAGTTGGAATCGAGGTTCATCCGAGAACAATTCTACCTCGATGGTGTGCCACCACATACGAGACTTTCATAATTGTGTATTTGATGATCATCCATGCACAGTTGGTCCTCTGCGCTGTGATCTGCATGAGATGTTTCAACGGCGATCTTGCTGCAGTTGTCTGCTAAGTAGCACCCCTGTCCAAGCCGACTGAGAGGTGCTTGTGCACGCCGTCAAAGGGACGCGAGGGACGCATGTCATGCAATTCCAACTCGCCAATGGAGCGAGCGATCGACGACGACACTTGCGAGGCAACATGGATTTCGTCCAGGAGTGTTCTTCATCCCCACACGTGGACGGGACGAACTCTTGGAAGGCGTAATACTGGACGTGTTTGTGTCGGTGCATCGAATCAACTTTGCCTAGCACGGCAACACGCGTCATCCACAATATCTGACACCTCCAAATCGTTGTTGTGGCAATCATTTTGCTGCCTTTTCAGCTCGATCAAACTACAAAATGATTGTGATAGGCGTCTCTAGGTGGCGGCGTGTCATGGCCAACGGCTATCGAAAACTTCAATTCTCAACTGCAGTAGGTTTCCAACTCGGTCGCCGATGGCCGCATGCTTGGAATTTGGTTTGTGCGATGCGTCAGAGTTGGACAGGTTCACGTGCACGGAAAACTCGGGCGAGTGGACGGTGGTCGCGTTCGGCAGTGGCAAAGGAAACGAGTCCGTGTGTCGTGTCTGGAAGTGGATGAAGAAGAGCATGGTGATGTCCAGAGCATTCGTGGCCCCTCGCCGTGGTGCGGGAACAAGTAGTATTTAGTATTTTTTGGTAGCAGTTTAAACTTTCAGTCTACAATCTACATCGGATTAGACCTAATCCCCGAATGCCATGTGTTTGGGGGAGATGTGGCGTTTGTGCCACTCAGTCGGCCCGACTTCATTTTGGATTTCGTCGTCGTACGGGGGTCTCGTGCCGAATGCTTGACTTGGGAGTTCTTTCGAAATTCGCTGTCGGGGCGAGTACGGCCGCTGCCTTGTCCACGCTCCTTGCAACCCCCACCACGAAAGACAACAAGGTCGCCGTCGCCATCGCCGTTGTCGCCGTGGGGGGAGCTGTTGCCTTGGTTGGCAAATACGTTCAAGACCGTGTGGTCCCGTGGTTCTTGTTGGTGAAAACGTACGACTCGATTGCCCCCGAGTCACCCCCGACGCCGCGGTCGTCAGAGTGTGCGCTGTTTCGCCATCTCCCGTGTCTCCGATCTCGTGTCGCTTGGGTGTCGCTCGGCGAGTTCCCGACGCCAATCCACACGGTGACACTCCCCAACGTTGGCGGAGATGGTCAACATCGCACGGTGTACCTCAAACGAGAGGACTTGTCGAGCCCCCTCTACGGTGGAAACAAGGTGCGCACGTTGGAGCACCAGATCGCTTCGTGCGCGCTGCACCACGACAACAACCCCGACGCTCGATACTTTGTTCAGGGAATGTCCGGGTCCAACCAAACGGTGGCTACAGTCGTGCACGGTCGCTGCCATGGGCTGCCCATCATCCCTTGCCTCATTGACGAGGACGAGCCAGACTTTGACAACACGCTCAACCTATTGTCGCTCTTGTCCTTTCGCTTGCCTGACTTGCACGTTTGGACGTCGTACACGACCACGATCGCACCCTTGATTCAAAGTGCTGTGTTCGGGTCCAAGGACAAGGTGTTTGCGTTCGGCGGGAACAACTTGTGCGGGGTTCTTGGCCAACTCGGTGGCATGTTGGAGCTCGCCGAGCAAATCCAGCGCGGGGACGTCCCAGACGTTGACGTCTTGTACGTGGCGGTCGGGTCGGGGTGCACGCTGACGGGTCAGATTCTCGGAGTGTGTTTGGCCCGTCATCTCCACATGAGAGCGTTCCAGTCTCCGTCGTTTCGAATTGTAGCAGTACCTATCTTGCCAGCTATGGCCGAAGAGCACGCGAAAGCAGCGTTCTACAAGTCGTGGTGGTCGAGGTTCCACCCACTGTACCCTCGCTACGGCTTTCGTCGAGCCGCAGCGTTTCTTTCGGGCTGTGGCCTTGACGTAAACTTGGAGCCGCTCGCGACGGACTTCCTGCTGCATCATGTCGACATGATCACCGATCCGGACATCGTGGGGCCGTGTGGTGCCCACAGCGTCGCGAGTCTCGAGGCAGCGACAACGTTTGAAGCGTCGATGGCAGTCGAGGGCGAGTTGCCTCCATGGATGCAGTCGGACGCTTGCCATGCGAGTGCAGTTATCAACGACGTGAACGAGGTCAAGCCGTGGTTGTGTGGCCATTTTACTGCAAAGGTGTTTGCCAAGTTGGTGGCCGACGTGCGCAGTGGCGATGACAAGGCGGTTCGCTTGATGTGGCAAACCAAAAGTTGGGTCCAGCCACGTGGCGACGACGACGAGTGGACGAAACTGAACGACCTCGCTGCCACCAATGACGACGTCAAGTCGTGGGTGAATGGTGGGTTGGCGCATTCGGCATTGCGCCCGGGACGCGTGCAAGTTCCACACGGGAACTCGGACGCGTACCGATCGGTCATGACCTCGATAAGCTCACGTGAACCCAAGCAACTCTAAACCACCACAACACATTCTCTCCGTTTCAAATGGACGCTGCTGGTATACGTATCGGATCCTGTATCGCCGACACAATGACGAATGCGAACTCGATGTCATCGCTGACGAACTTTTGCAGTCACGTTTGTTGCCTTGTTCGATGCGCGCGGGTCTCCAGCCGTCGAGCTACGTCATCTCGCTTCGATGGTGTGGTGTACAGCTCACCACTATCGGAGAACATGAGAAGAGTCAGGACAGGATGTTTGTAGGTGGTATCGTAGGTACATGCGTTGTCATGCAGGATTTTGAGTCCTTCACGTCTGCCTTGCGATCCTCTACATGCACAAAGGACGCGCTGATCGATTCGCGCATGGGTACTTTGTCAGTGCCGAACGGCGTTGGAGAGGCAGGGACGACATGCATGCGCCCGTTTGCCCAGACTCTACCTGAGCAGAGGCGTCAGTCATGCCCTGCTGCGCACAGGTGGAACCCAAGCAGCTCCAAAGCACCACGACAAGTCGCTCCCGTTCAAACGGACACCGTCGTCGTTGCTGGTCGGATGTAGCGGCGTTGTGGCAGAGCTATCACTTTGAATACGTGCCGGAGTTGAAGCGACATTCATCGTGCACAGGAACGGGGAACTGCTCGGTGTGGTTTGTCTCCCTCGTCGCCATACCTCATTGTAGTTGGCTCCAAAGTGGAAAGATCTTATTGTTGGTTGTACCGCGCCTGCTAACGAAAGATGCGCATGCGCTACTCCATGGTTGCCCTTGCCACTCGTCTTCACGTGGTCTTTCAATTGATTGTGGGGGGGTGAGTCCTTGCCGTTGAATTGACCAGACGACAGCTTGCCGTCCAGCCTTGCCACATGGCAAGCCATCATGTGATGGCCAAACGAATCTGAACACTCCATCCCAAACGGCAGCTTGGATGCCCACAAAACATGCGAACATCGTAGAGTCCACGTTCGGCGAACGTGTTGTCTTGGGACTACAGTAGCATGTGCATTGGATATCTAGTGATCTCGAAGTAAGCAACCCAACTCGTCACACAGAATGGAACGTCCAGATTGACTCTGCCTACGTGTACAAGTACGACTCATAACCTTGTGGAGTCATCGGTCGCATCCACATGTTGGCCCAACAGGACTCAAACATTGCGCAGTAAACTCCACACGAAACAATTCCTCGACGCTGGCACCTCTTACTACGAAGAGCAGTACCAACCAAGGACGCCAACCCACGCCGCCTTTCAATTGAACACACGGCGCCAAGGTCCCGCAGCGCGGAATTGCTAGTGGTGCTAGGGTTTCTCCTGTGCGGCAACCGTCCATCTGCGAAATGCGGAAGCGTCGTCGCTGAGAGGCTTACACAGCACACCCCATCCTCTTCAGCTACTCGTGGCATTCCCGAGTTCGACGGAGAATGTGCAGCCGCCAGCCATCGCGACCGCAACTCGGTTGTCGATGTCAATGTCCACTGACGATGCCAAGTTCGTTTAAGTACGTATCTTTCCCTGCAGAGCCGACACACCAAGGACCGTGCCGTACGTGTGTGGCCCACGCTGGAAGTGACGTGGCAAGAGGGGCTCGATCATGAAGTGTCCGTGCGAGATGTGCATATGTGCCAGCCAACGTCGTGCCCTCATCAGGCTGCCCGGACGAGCAGGTGGACCCAACTCACCTTGGGTCGTTCGGTCGCGAAGCCATCGAACTTAATCCGATGCCTTTCACTTCAACTTCTTCCTCCACAGAAAATCACTTTTCCCCCATCGGCAGCACGGCACCATGTACACCCCGATCGGGCCTGCGGGATCGCAACCACGCGGCTTGGCATCGTCGCCGCACAACAAGGCGCTGTTTGTCGTGATCTTTATCGCGCTCGGTGTGCTCTTCGCCGGGTACACGTCCCACAACACTACGACCGAGAACGCGACGCAAGTGGCGCTGCCGGTGGCTAACATGCAAACGCTTCCAACAACGCCATCCTCTCCGCCGTTGTTGGAGAGTGATCCCGTCGAAGCCATTCTCCGCAACTTGGTACAGTGTGTCGCGATGGGTGCTCCCCGTCCTCATGAAATACATCTCTTTGCAGACGTTGGCCCAAAAGGTCGGCCAAATGCTGCAAGTCGACGTGTACAACATCATGCATGGGAAGGTTCGCGATCCCAAGTACGCCCTGAACAAGGCGCGCGTCGCCTTGTACGCGAAACTCGGGATCGGATCTTACTTCAACTCGCCGTTTGCGGGCGGACCATCTCGCCACCAGTCGTGGACGGCGGAGGAATGGCGCTCGATCGTCGATCAAATCCAGGCCATCTACGCCGAACACAACGCAATTCCCATGATTTACGGCATCGACACGATCCACGGCGCCAACTACGTTCGGAACGCGGTCTTGTTTCCCCAGCCGTTGGCCGCCGCATCTTCGTTCAACGTGGACTTGGTCTATCGCATGGGCCAAGTTGCTGCCAAGGACAGTTTGGCGGCCGGGTTGCCTTGGATTTTCAGCCCCGTGTTGGGCATTGCCATGCAGCCAAAGTGGGCTCGTGTACGAAGCACCGTCGCTGCTTCGATGGCCACCTCATGCGTTGTTGCTGTAGAACTACGAAACGTTTGGCGAAGACCCGCACACCGTATCCGCGCTGGGCGTGGCGCTTATCCAAGGGCTCCAATCGACCAACCGCACCGCGGTACGTGTGTGGCTCCACCTGTTGCTGGGAAGAGGCCACCGGTCTGAT